GTAGAATGATCAGTTTCTGAAAACAGATTGAACCCAGGATGGAGATTGTCAAATATCAAACAAAAAATGGCCTGGAAGTGGTGGTGCAGGCCTTTAATCCCAGCACTTGGGAAGCAGAGGCAGGCGGGTCTCTGTGAGTTCAAGGCCAACCTGGTCTATAAGAGCTAGTTTCAGGTCAGCCAACAGAGAAATTCTGTGTCAAAAATAAATAAGTATACAACGTTTCCAAGCAGCACCCTCCTCAAACCAAAGAACAAAGGAAGATTGATGAAGTGATTTTTTTAAAATGCATTGAGACCTCTCCCTGCAAAGAGTTGAATTCGTTATATTTAATAAAACTACACCAACTTTGAGTCAAAAAGTATTTAAAGATAGGAAGAGAGATGCCACAAAATCAAACAAGCAACCAACAATTGGTTTGAATGTCTCAGTGTGGAAAGGTAACATCTTGATATTTTCATGCTATTTTGAAGTTTAATGCTTTGTGGAGGGAAGCAAGTGAGCATGATCAGCCACCCTCACTGAGTGTTCTCTCATTCACACTTACTTACAACTGTTTCTGTATGGGAAGATTAACTCTTAACCACAGTGGGCTTATAGTGGGATAATTGTATGGTTGATTTTATTTCTCTTGTCTACACTGCTAAATTTTCCATGTTTTTTATTCACATGCTGGAAAACAAAATTTGAATTAGAAAAAAAAAATAGCACCAGGGCTGGAGAGATGGTTCAGAGATTAAGAGCACTAGCTGTTCTTCTAGAGAACCTGGGTTCAATTCCCAGCAACCAGGGGGTGACTCACAAAGGTCTGTGTCCTCTTCTGGCCTGCAGGCATGCATACAATCAGAACACCAAATACATAATAAATTAATAAAAAGTCTCTAAAAAACAAAAAGAAGGGAAAGAAAAGAAAAAATAATAATTCCATAGATTTCTTCTGGTTAAGAACTTTCCAGGTACTCAACAATCAAACAAGTTCAAGGTCTTCTGCCTGGTTTTTATAGTTTTGTTTTCCAAAGCTGAGATACAGGAATGTTATCAGGCAAGGGTCATTACTTTGGCACATGAAAGGCCTTATCAAGCACCTTTCCTTTCCAAGAAGAAGTACCAGATCTAGCAGGAGGCACACAGCCATCTCAACTTCCCTGGAGAAGAACAAAGCACAGCTGGAAGGAAGATCAGGGCTGAGAGCCAGCGGTGGCTGTCAGAGCAACTCAGAAAGAGCAGGACAGAAAGGCCCATAGGGACAAGGACCAGAGCTAATGCTGGCGGAGAAAACAAGGATGAGGTGAAATGGAAAAAAAAAAAAAGAAAAAAAAAGACAAGATGCAGACTTGTCTAACTAAACCACCTTGGTACATGCCTGTAATTGCAGCACTGGGGACTTTGGGCTGGGACATCATCTGTCCATGGACAGTGTTACACCATGGGACCCTGCTTCAGTGTTTTTTAAATGGTTTCTTGAAAAGTTGCTACTGAAATTTTAGCCTTTGTTATGTGAGTGATGTCAAGTGAACAGGATGGGGGGAAGTGGATAGGGTAGAAAAGAGGGAGCCACCGAGAACAGAGAGTCAGGCACAGTGACTTACACAGTCACAGTCGTAGAAGGCCATATATAATATTTACACAAACATACCATGTCTCTGAGTCCTAGAAAGCCACATGGTTCGGGCATTTCCACACAATGGACTTTGTTAGATTCCTACACAAATTATTCCAAGGATTTTCACACATCAATACCCTTGTTGTTTCTCAAATGTTCCTTCAAAGGCCACCCTTACCGGGTCCCTTTTGGCAAGAACGGAAGGATTTTTAAGATACAAAATAGAAGGCAAGGGAGAAACTTCTCACAGGGAGGGAAGGGGGAACCGGTGGAAGATTAGGAAAGAAAAGGGGTGGCATGGGGGAGGGGCTAGGGAAAAGAAGAGAGGGAGGGAGGAAAAGAGGGAGGGAGGGAGGGAGGGAGGGAGGGAGGGAGGGAGGGAGGGAGGGAGGGAGGGGAGAAAGGAGAGAGCACTCTACTGCACAAAGGGAAGGGAGGCAAGCTCAAGCCTGCTCCTTTGCATTTTTCCTGAGGGAAGAAGTTCAAGTTTTCTCAGCTGCCATTCCCAGCCATGTTCAAAGGGACCTGTGTGTCAGGAAGGGCTGGTCCTTTCCCTCTCCAGAACTGGCACTCCGGCTATCTGCTCTGCCCTTGTAAGGCTGTCTCATTTGGTTTAGAAGAAAGAGACATGGTTTTCCTTTCTTCCCTCACAGGCTCTGACATCAGGATTTCTTAACTCTCCGCCATATTTCTTGCCCTGAATAACAGACAGATATGACTTCCAGAATCCATCAAGTGGATCTTATGGATGCCGCACAGTTTCTGTCTCACTTCATGGTTCAGAACACCCCAGACATGCTTCTTTGTCCAGAGGAAAGTCACTTAGTGCTTTTGCTTGGCAGTGGGGGCAGGAACTAGGAAATAATGCTTCCGTGGACCAACCAGAGCAATGGAGGCTGACAGGTACAGAATATCGTGTGGCTTGTGGACCAGTTTGGCTCCTATAACTTCATTTCCTTGCTCAAATCCCGACTCTTCCTAACTCTTCAAGTCCTGGCTCCTGACCTCACAGTAAAATACTTGAATGAACAATTCTCTTGGCCTTAACCCCAAATTTCTCCTGGTTTTGTTGCTATTTTATTTTTGTTTTGTTTCTACTTTGGCTTTTAGAGATAAGGTCTCAATATGTAGACTGGACTGGACTGGAACTTTGGACTGCTTTCCTGAGTGCTGAGATGAGCTATATGTACCACGACACTAGACAAGATAAAAAATCTTTACTTTATATCTAATCTGTGACTCTGTCTCATACGCCCTGCCCCTTTGTCCTCTGGTCTCTAGACACCAGATAGCCTATCAGTTGTGCAAATGGAACAGCCTGTGCCTCTCGATGGATACTAAACATTTCTCTCATTCCCCCGTTTTGTCATTAATAATTGGTTTTCAGTACTGCTACTACTTCCTCTGGGAAATATTTTCCAATCTTTCTGGTAGGGTCAAATTCCCTTAGGAAAGCCCCATACCTATTCCTTTCTAAACATGTAAGCCAGCTAGGATTAATTATACAATTCCTAGCATTTAGCCCAATCATTTTATGTGTATTTTATGCTACTTAAAGGCCTTCTGTTTCCATCAGTGGGCTGAAGGTCCTCTGACAACAGTGGCTCATGTCTATCTTGTATTTTTTTAATGTATTCAAAGGACAGTTATCACTATGTGGCAAGAGGCAGGAACAGTTAGGTCAAAAAGAGCGTGGGGTAGCAGCAGAATCAATAGCAAGTTACTGTAGGATATCAAGCATAGCAGATGGAGAAGCTTTGCTAAGATCTTGACAGTTGACTCTGGGACTTCCAGATCTGCAATATGGTGACGTAGAAAGCATCACAGAACATCTTGGTCCTAAAACTAGGTGTTTCAATAGCCTGATACCATTGCTGAATGATTCAAAGCTAGTAAGAAGCAATCGTAAGAGACTTCAATCGTTGAGACAGAGCTAAATCGAAAGAGTAAAGGCGAGGCCCCATGCCCACCAATTGTGGGATACTCCAAAAAACTAAGTAGAGGTGCATGTTCTAGTGCCAATCATCTCCCAAATAGTTCATACTAATGTACTCTACAACTTGAGCTTGAAACTCTGTTCCCTTCGTCACCCTGTCATGGACACACACTGTAACCCAGCTCACTGTTTTCCAAGTCTTCCTGAGAAATCCTTAACTCCTTCCAAATTCAGTTCAAGAAACACTCTTGAAACAACTCAGTACCATATACCCCAATGCCTCGTAGCATTAATGAACACAATACATTAATTCATTCATCATTCCTTATTGAACAATATTTGTGATCTTCTTTATCTTATGGTCCTTTGTCTATTTTATCTCCTATGGAGTCTACGAAAGGACTCACTTTAACCCATAGTAAGCTTGGGATAAGACAGTCATATAACGGATCTCTAAAGTCACACAGCTGAGAACATGACAGCCCAGAGGTAACCCAAGATACTTTACTGTAGCACCAAGCATTCCCAGAAACTTTCTGAGGGCATTTTTATAGCTCTTAAGTCCAAAGGTAAAGGTGTTTAGGCCAATGCTAGACCACCTACTCAATTCCTAGATAGTTCAAATGCAGTGAGCAAAAATGATATATGAAGACAAACGCCTTCTCTTTGAAGAAAACTAGGTCTATACTTTCCTGCATGGTGTCCCTTTCACAAAACCATGTCAAAATCTGGGCTAAGCTGTAGTTTTGCCTATTTTCCAGCCTTGGGTGATGTCAGCTCAGCTTCTGTCCCTAAGGGGGCATTGTCCTGTATTAAATTTTATCCTTTTAGGAAAATACATCACAGAAGTTCACATGTTAGATCTTGAGAAAGTAAGAAACAATAACATTTACTGTGTTACTAGCCATGGTGGCACATACCAGCACTCAGGTTGAGACAAGAGGATGGCTATTTCATGACCAGCCTGGGATACACAGAAAGACAAAGCCAGCCTGAACTATGGAATAAAATCCTGTCTCAGAACCTTAAAGGCTGGGGGTGCAGCTTTGTGGCAGAGCAAGCCTAATATGCTTAAGACCCTGGGCTCCGTCTCCAGCCAGCACCATGAAAATCAAAGCAAAACGACTCTACTTGGTCTTTATATCATGAGACAGGTACATATATGCTGAGATTACCACTAAAATCCCTCACTTGAGTCATTTTTCTTTTGATTAATTTATAAGCAGTGTGCTTAGCACTTAGAGGCGAAGAACCATGCCCAAGTTCTCGTGGCTGAATCCATATGTGCTTGATGCCAAGCCTGGATTTCTATCCACACAACTAATTCTCAGTGCTTAATGGCACTCATCAAGCGTCTTTTTATTCTCCCTGTAATTATGAAAAGACACTCATATAGGGAGAGAGAGAGAGGGAGGGAATGGAGGGAGGGAGGGATAGTGGGAAAGAAAGAGGATGGATTACCTGATAAGGCCCAAGTCTTCTCCTTTCAAATCTACCATTTTCAAGACTACCATTTCCTTGTCTGTGTCTGAAGAATACCTGTTAGCCAAATAAAGAAACTTGGTCAGTTTTTGTTAGAGACTGACCCTAAGCTCCTACCAACAACAGACGCAGACACAAAAACTAACAAAATAGGGGTGGGGGAGATGGCTCCATGGATAAGGACATTAGCCAGGCAAGCCTGAAGACTTGAGTTTCATCTTTGGAACTCATAAAAGGGAAGGAGAGACCCAGCTCCCAGAAGGTGTCCTCTGGCTACCTTATACATGCTGTGGTATGAATTCTCTCAACACACATATGCACGTGTGTGCATGCACACACATACACGTACATATACACTAATAAAAATAAATAAATAAAATTTAATGCCTCTTCGTGAACTCCAGAGTAAAGAGCGGTCAGCCCTACACTGCAGCCATGATCTCATTCCTCAGCTAAATAAATAGTTTACAGTTATGATCAGTGGTAGGGGCACTAGATCAACTAACTGAAGCTAAAATACATTTTTACACCATATGCATGGTATTATATGATGTGGATGTGTCTCTTACAAACTGAATTTATGTTTGAAATGTCTACTAATACCAACTTTCAGTAGAATCTCTTCAGAAGGACAGATTGCAAATGAAGGTCAGTCAAGACCTGAAACTCCAGAATTCTCCATCTTTTCAAGGGAAATCGGATTATAACTTCTAAAAATAAGTAGCCTTGGCAACTAGACTGATGTAATCTGTCAAGCAGCCGAGGTAGAACTGAGATGTCACTGTAAGCTGCCACAGTACCCACGCATCTCTTCTCATCGTTCACAAGCCTGGCTCATCACTAAAAGCACAGAGCCCTCGCGTCCGCTGGCTGCTCTGTTTAGTTACGATTGTGTCCTATCTGGCTCATTCTCTCACCTTCCATGTTCAGCTCAAGGAGGCTAAGGTGATGCATCTGGACAACACATAATAATAAGATGGAATAAGCCCTGCTCCCTAAATGATGTGATCTACACATTGGAATCTCCATTTTATAGACGGAGCAACCGAGACCCAACAAAGGGGGTGAGAAGTCTCCAAAGGCGACACAGTAGAAAACAGTAACTCCCTGCAGGGTCACAGTCTCGTAAGCCTCCACGGGGTTTCCCATGGACAACAATATGCGGGGATGGTGAAAAGAATCCATGTCTGTCTCTACATTTATTTCTTGCTTCTTCTTGCCTGAGACAAACATGTTAAAGTTATCTTCTTTATTACTCTTCTGGGATCCCACTACACCCTAGAACTTACCAGCTCTGCCCTTAGATTTTGTTGCTGTTCAGTGAAAAACACACAGTTACACCGTCTGCATGATTCCCACTGACCTCGCTCTCTCTGACGGTGGGTTCTGAAGGTAAGAAGAGGGGCTTCGGTTGATCTGCACATTAGCAACGTTTCCTTTGTTGATAAAGATTTTGCCTGGTTTAAGATTTGTGTGTGCTATCTCAATGCTCTGAAAGTTCAAACAATAAAGGAATAAAGCGTTGTGAGTTCATGCATCCTTGTGGAGACGATGAGCAAGGCCAACAGAAGGCCTCGCCGACACCCTTCACTGTTTCTTATGTGCCCCCAGTGTAGGGAAAGGCTGGAGACTCACGGGGCCAGCATCATTCTGGAGGGAAGGGAAGTGATGGGTAAGGATGTTTGGTACTTATAAGCCACACCCCACATGAGTCCCATCTCATGGCTCTGTGGTCTGCTAGGTCATGAAAAAATTGATAATTTTAGGGCCAAAAAAATGGGAGACTTGACTTCTACCACTCTGGAACAAAATGTATTCAATTTTCCCCTTGACCTCATCATCCTCTTGGTTTTCAATCATCTTTAACTGGGAACCATGAAGGGACATTTTTATCACAACTTAGTATATATTAACTTACACGCACTAAAACAAAAGTTCACAAAACAAACTATACTCTCATAAGGTGTGTAGTATGTAGTTCCCAATCTACTTTACTGGGGTCTTTTATAATTAATATTTCTTACAAACCATGACATTTACTTTATAAACCTTTAACACGTTACCAAACACAGGATAAAAATATTGTAAAGGAAAGCCTGTTTTTGTCAGCTGAATCTCTGCATGTGGGGTTAATTTTGTGGAGGAAAAAAAAAGAGAGAAAGAATAACTAAATCTGAAAGGCAAAAAGAAAGAAAGAAACGAAAGAAATAGAGAGAAAGAGAGGAAGGAAGGAAGGAAGGAAGGAAGGAAGGAAGGAAGGAAGGAAGGAAAAAAGGAAGGAAGGAAGGAAGGAAAAAAGGAAGGAAGGAAGAAAAAAAGGAAGGAAGGAAGGAAGGAAGGAAGGAAGGAAGGAAGGAAGGAAAAAAGGAGAAAGAGAGAGAGAACACTGATAGAATCTCACACAAGAAATGATGATAGACTTGAAGACAACTAGGGAGGAAGGAGTAAAGAGCCCAAGTCAGGAATGGGAGAGGAATTGGGGGGGGGGCTGATTAAGGATGGGAGTAAGCAGCCAATAGGGAGCTCTTCACCTACCTTCACAATGCCAGACACCAGGTATTGAAAGGTTCGATTGCTGAAGCCTTCACTGGCTAGTATATAGAGTGTGTATTGGAAATACCCTGCTGGACCTGAGTGTGTGTGAGTGCCACTCAGGATAACGTTGTCTCTTCGGTACAGGGAGCCGTATTTACTCTGTAGTCTCTTCAGGACCTTGAAAGAAAGCAAAACATAGAACTAAGAAGGATCCATGGCATCTCTGCAGGAAAGTGGGTTCTGAAGAGCTCAAGCACAGGTCTGCCCCACCACCTCCTTTTCAAGTGGCCCTCCCTCCACATTGATCACCGTAGTAACAAGTGCAATGATGCCAGCAGATGCCAACATTTTGCAGGGGCCTGCAATGTGCTAGTATAGCATTGGCTAGACATTTTATGTACATTATATTATTTAAAATATTCATAGCAACCCCCAATGCAGTTATTATCAGCCTTATTTTTCAGCTGAGAACACTGATATACAAAAGCTAATTTTCCCACTAATCTAAGGAGTTGCAGAGATCAAACTCCAGGTCTAAGACTTTGAAATACAACTCTCATCTATTCCTCTTTCAAAATCTAGCATTTCTCGCAGACAGAAATACATTGTTTTAACCTTGAAGGTGTTTTCTTATAATGAAAGAGAAAGCCAAAAATAATTATGTGCTGTTATGCCGCACAGTGATGAACTCTGTGCAGGAAAACATTGCAGGGTAAGGGAAATGGTGAGGGGTAAAGAGTGGTCTCCCTAAAGAGAGGCTCTGTTTGCCAAGTGTTTAAATGAAAGAAAAGAAGCTGCTTGTGCCAGGAAAAGCATCCCGGACTCAGCAAAGGCCTCACAGCCTCGCTTTGCAAAATAGCGAATCCTCTGTTCTTTCTTTAACACAGACTATTGCACTTGTTGGTCTACAGCAAACCACCTACTGCGTGTGAGATCACCCCAGGAATCTAGCGGAGGACTTGCAAAGGAAGGAACCATCCTGTCGGCACTAACATGTGAGATATATGAGTGAGAAGCCCTCCATTCACAGCGTCTAAACACACAGACACTGACTGCAGCCAAACCTGCTGGGTACTGCTTTGAGCCACGAGGTTTCTGAATTTCCCTGTTTAGTAGTAGATAAAGGAACTTTAGCAAATGTTTGCTGTATTAGTCAGTCAAGGAACACACACATCAGGAAAACACAGAAAAAAATGGTAATATGATGCTGATCATGATTCTGTTTAATCCCCTGCCACCTGACAGTCGCTATTACCGTTACTTCTCAGTGGTACATCATTACAATGACACCATAAAAGTGTCAATCACTGCCGAGTTGCCTCACCCAGCCTTAAGGAGGTGCCTAGTCCTGCTGCAACCTGATTTCCCATGGCTGGCTGATATACATGGAAGGCCTGCATGGTTTTGGAAGGAGAGGGAGAAGGAAGAAATGGAGCAGAAGTTGGGGGTGGAGAAGGGGGCAGAGAGAAGAACTGGAAGGAGAGAGAAGAGGAAGGTGGGGAACTGGTTGGGCCAGGAATAAAAGTCATTATTGTTTAATTAGTAATCAAAAAAATTTTAAACGGGGAGAATAAAATGTTTCTTAAAGTATCAATCACAAAGCATCAACTAGCGGCGTCTCTCAAGAACTAGTGCCATCCAGTTCCAGCACACCATTGGTCTAACAGGGGAGGAGTTTGTGCTCTACGGTGTAGTCAATCTACAGAGATAACAATCTACGTCTTCATTAACTAAATCCTTGCTCCCATTTGTGGTCATTAAAGGAAAACAGAAGACCATGTGAAGTATTTTGCCTCATTAGCCTATCTATGCCCCCAACGTTACCATATCTGATGACTGTTTTTAAAATCAACTTGCCACAAATTAGAATTACCATAATAGGGGGCTAGAGAGATGTCTCAGTGGTTAAGAGCACCTGTAACTCTTGCAGAGGACCCTGGTTCCGTTCCCAGCACCCCATGACTGCTCATAACCGTCTATAACGGTTTCAGGAGAGCTTGTGTCCTCTTCTGGCCTCTTTAGGTACTGTGCATAGATGTTTCCATACATACAGGCAAACACTCACTCATATAAAATAAAATAAATAAACCTAAAGAAGAAGAAATAATTACCGGAGAGAGCCTCAACCGAGGAATTTTCTTAATTGCCTTTATTTACATGGGAAGACCTACACCAAATGTGAGCGGGACCTTTGGGTAGTAGCCCAGACAAGGAAGTGTTTCCACCTTTTGCTCTCATTGCTGAATTAATCTACCCTGTTTGCTGCTGCTCCAGAGTCCTCTGTTGGTGTTAGAACCAGTGTTCCCAGGCTCCCATCACTGACTGAGGACCAGTAGCTCTCCTAGAATCTTACAGGACCTCAGTGCCAGATGGAGACTGCTGAGACACCCAGAAACTTTCAGTCTCTCTCATGTGAGTCATTTATTGTGGAGCTGGCTACTCCCTCTGCTGAGGCTCCCTGCCTCAAGGGCCCGGTGATCACCAGGTTCTCAGCCTCTGGGCTGTGAGACAACTGTTGTTAAGGTTTCAAAGGAAGGTGATTTAATAAAATATATTTTTTAAAAAAATTTTCCAATCTATCAGTTCTTTTCCTTTAGAGAACCCTAACTATGCCGCATTCACATAAACAATGCCGTGGAAAGAAAATGACAAGCTATAGCCTTCGGCTCCATCCCAGGGAGCTTCTGTCTCTTTTATTTGACTTTGACGCTAGTACCAAGGCCTCATCCCTCCCCTATATTCCCCTAGTAACTACCACAGTCATTGAGGGAAAAAAAATCTGTCAGAAGGGAAGACAATCAATGACTGGACCACCATGGAGCTGGATTAAAACCAAAGACCATTGTTCTCACAGTTCTCCAGTAGGACAAAAAAGTGGGGAAAACACAGAGTGAAAGTCAAGTTTAAAGTCCTCCCCTCCATTCATCTCAACCCTAGTAAACTCTAACTTAGAATTAAATACATTTCTTCATGCTGAGTCAAGTCTGAGCTCTTAAGAAAGATAGTAATCATGAATCTTGGATTGCTGAACAATGAACTGCTCACAGCCATCTTAAAGCACAGCCTCTGGTAGAGACTGAAGGGATAGAACTAAGATACTGACATGCTAGCCATGCCTGCAAGTAACTCTTACAGACAACCGTGGTCTGCTTTCAAGAAAGGAAGGCTGTGTTTGCCCGGAACAAAGCAGTTACAGTCCTGTCTACTGCTTACTTCTTTGTCTTCCCTTCCTGTTCCACCCTGCTGCGAATGCTCTTGGGAAGGCGAGCAGAAGAGGGAGACAGGCGTTCTGTCTCCTGGCCCGCCACACCGCTTACAGATTGCCCCTATCTTCATTCCTCTCTGGAAATGACTTCAGTCTTAGAGCTGAGAAAGAGACTTGACTAAAACCCTGCATCATAAATACTCTTAAGGCACGTACTTAGCTGTTTTTATTTTTCTTCTACCTTAGACGGGCTTGTGAAAACTAAGTGGGCTGGTATGAAGGCCTTCGCCCAGACCTCAGATTGCAGGGGGAGTAAAAACAGAAAGCCGTGGTTAAACCAAAGCCACTATTGACCTAAGAGCATCTAGATTGCATCCATCACCTCCCTGCATTCCTCTCTGCATCTCCAGTGTCTGTCCTTTGCTCAGGACTCTGCCAAAGATACCCACTATAGGCATCTTGGATTCCTCAGAAGAGCAGTGTGGTGCAGAGCTAATGAGCCCAGCCTGTGTAATGAGAACAGGAAGGTCTAAGTTTGGACCCTCGCTCTGACAATTCCTCGCCACATAACCTTGGATAAGTTATTCTATCCTCTGCAACTTGGTTTCTCTCTTTCTAATCCCATAATAATAACACCTCTCTCAAAGAGTTGGAGGGTTGCTAATACCTATGGATTATTCTAACAGTACCTGGCTTACCATGATCACTAGGTTGCCGTTCCCTCTGTTGACATTAGAACCAGGGTTTCCAGGTTTCTGTCATTGACTGAGGACTAGTAGCTCTCCCAGAACCTTACAGGACTTCAGTGACAGATTGAGGCTGCGTAGACACCCAGAAACTGCCAAGTTCCCAGTCTCTCAGGTATGAGGCAGCTTATTCTGGGACTGGCTACTCCCAAGTCCCAGGTTCCCTGCGTCAAGGATCGGGCGATCACCAGGTTCTCCCTCTTGGCTGCGAAGTAGCTGTTGTCACAGTTTCAACTGGCTTACCATGAGTTCTAGTTAGTGTTTATGCCATTTATTCTCACAAGTCATGGTATTTATCTTGTCCTAGAACCTTGTAGTCTCACTGTCATCCCATTGGATTCAGACCAGTTTTGTGTAATACGGAGGAAAGTGCCAGGAAGAGGCTGACAACCCCTCCCAAAACCCTAACTTTCCTTTCAGTCATCTAACACCTTCTAAAACTCCGTAAGTACTTTTGGTTTGACAGACCTAGTGTAACTATTGTTTGCCTGCCTGGATTCTCACCAATTGACTCTCCATGTTAAAGAATCTACTATTCTGTGACTTCCTCTCTAGTTACCCTGTGTTCCAGAACAAAGGAAGCGTCACTATTTAATTAAACACCCTGTACAAAACTGTGTTGATATTATTCCACCCAAACATTCCCTAAGATTCCACATTACCCTCATAATTAAAATCAATCTAGGCACATACATGACTCCATATTTTCTATGGATTTCTTCTGTTCCCTCCAATGACATCTGTATCCCTCCTTTACAACTCTTTGTTTATTCTGTCCCTTGCATTTGGTCTCTCCCTATTATAGTTTGTCTTCTGTTGCTGTGATAAAAACACAGAGATCAAAAGCAATTTGTGAAGGAGGAAATGGTTAATTTTAGCTTAACGTTGCACTCCATTGTGGAAGGAAGGTAGATGAAGAACTCAAGGCAGGAACCTAATGGCAGGAAGAGAAGCAGAGGCCATGGAGGAACACTGCTCACTGGTTTTCTTCCCCCTCCCCAAAGACTTACTTGGGCTACTCTTTTTATATAACCCAGAACCATCTCTTCAGGAGTGGAGCTATCCATCATAGGCTGCTCCCTATCCACATCAATCATTAATCTAGAAAATGCTCCCTCAGACTCGAGGACCAAGAAGATGGGGACAATTTCTCAATTCAAATCAACCTCTTTCCAAATAAGCCAAGCTTGTGTACAACTGACCAAAATCTAACCAACATGCTTCCTCTGTACTTTAGCCATTTAGAATTCTGCTCAGTCAAGTATTACTCCTACTGAGAAAAGACTTCCCTGATTCTCATTTTCCATATCTCTTTGTCTCCTGTGATAGTCTTGAAAGACTGTACATCCATAAATTCTTAAGCACCTCCTTCAAAGAGTAAAGTCTATCTAATCATGGCGGCAAAAATCTATAATCCCAGAACTTGGGAGTTTAGGGCAGAAGGTAGCAAGAATGAGCTAAATAGTCTTTTTCATAGACAGGATTTTTCTATGGAGCTTTGGGTGTCCTAGAACTCACTTTGTAGACCAGGCTGGCCTCAGACTCACAGAGATCCGCCTACCTCTGCCTCCCGCATCCTAGAATTAAAGGTGTGCACTGCCACTGCCCATCAAATTGAATAGTTTTAAGCAACATAGTGAGACACTGCCCCAAAACTAAACAAACCACAGTACTAAAGCTGAATTTCCTAACTCTAAGCTTGGATGGACTTGATTAATATACAGAACAGTAGGGTAATTGTGTGTAACTTCTGGAAATGGGTCAGAAAATCACTGTGCCATCCACCCTGAAAGAATTCATGAGGATTGGAGTGGAGACCTGAAGCTTCCTACCAACAAACACACTAATGAACCACCTTTCATGTGAATCTTGCTCCTCAGTCAAGCCTTCAATGTATCTGTTCTTTGCCATCCTCATAAATGCAAGAGAACCAAGCCAGAACCATGTAGCTAAGCTAGTCTTGAATTTCAGTTCCACAGAACAAGTAAGATAGTAAATATCATTTTAGGCCACTGAATTATGTGGAAATAGATAATTACTAGAGAACTATACTCCAGTGATTCATGCTTACTTGTATGCTTCTGTGACAGTCTTTTCCCCTAAGACCCAACTAGATGGTGGCCATGTGGGGGCATGGATTGGAACTTATTTAGTTGTGTCCTTTAGTTGCAAGCACTGGCAAAATACCTTAAAGAAAGTGGGTGATGGGGGCCCTTTTATCTCTAAAAGAATGATGCCTTTTTTAGTTGAACAGAGTACTTGCACAGTGCACAGAAATCCCTGTTCTCAATCCCCAGCACCACAGAAACCACAAGTAATTCTGGTATGCAAAGGATGTAAAGGCAGAAAAATCGTAAGTTCAAAGTTATCCTTAGCTATACAGTGACTTTATGGCCCTCACAGTCTACATGAGACACTTCACTGTCTGAGATAAAGGGTCTGGGGTTAATGTCTCTTTTGAGAATGCAGTTTTTTTCATAACCCAGCTCTAGCATTTGCTAAGAACTGCCTTAATTTTGGAAGGTGACTCCCCTCCTCTAAGATTCTGTCTGCGGATAATAGCAGAGCCAACTCAGGGTTTTATTGTTCGTGTAGGAGGGAGGAAAATACTTAACTCCCTCCTCCTGTCTACACATGGGAGAGGCTCCCACTACACTCCCAATAGTGACAACACCAGAAGGTACCTTCGGGCTGTGTCATCACTAACCCCTCCACACAGCACAGCAGCAAAGCTTTTAACAAGAGAGAGTGACAGAACACCAGCCTACATGACTGATCCCTGGTCACTTCTCTGGTCGGCCTTACACCTCTCTCCCTCTTTCTCATGCGGGTGAGTCTGTACACACTCCCAGGTCACAGTCACCACCAATCTGAGCCTACATAGAAAGTAGCTCTGGATCAGGCCTTTAAAACTGGTTAGGAGTCTGGCAAGGGACCTATGACTGCACTGGATTCCTCCCTCCTTCCTCTCCTGCCTGGGGTCCTCTCTCTTCTTCCTTCTTCCTCTTTCTCTGCTCCTTAAGGCCTCAAGCAACTCAGGACCCTTTATGTCCCTCTCTGCTCACCTCAACCGTCTACACAGGTAAGTATCAATCTCTACATTCAGAGGAGGGGGGCATGAAATTCTGTCACATTCTACAGTAGTGTAAGGATGAAGATTCTTTAAACAACCAACGCAATTTTCCAACTCATATTACAATAACCAGACTGGCATAACAGCCCCTTCATGTGACCATCAACCATTTCCTTCCATTGCCAGTTCATGGTCAACCTCCTTGCAAAGCTTGATTTCAGTCACCAGCTGATTCCTTACACGAATCCTCAATCGTGTGCGAACTAGAAAAGGAGGCGAGTGACCAGGTGGTGCTCTGGGGTGTCTGACAAAGACCACTACGTGAGAATCCATGTGAAAGGAAGTGGTCTATATCAAGCTTTCAGAGAACATTTGCATTCTTAACAATGAGGCGCCATCAGCATAACCGGGAGCCGGTTTTGGAAAGGAACACTTAGACTTCAATAACAAAAGGCATCTGCCTGTGTAATTGTCTTCCAGGCTATCAAGACCTTACATTGAAGACAGGAGATACTCTTTAGCTGAGAAGGAAAGCCTGTGGAGTTCCCACTGTGGGCATTCACAGACTATCCCCTGCCCCCACCCCCCCGCCCTGCCATTTCATCTCTTACCTCCAGCCTGAGTCGTTGGGAAATCATACATAGTTCAACACTGACAAATGCCATCCGATTTGACCCATCTGAATCGGCCAAGATGAAAGCGCGGCTGTACAGCCTGGTGAGGAGGCCCTGTGCATTCTGGCCGCTTTTGCCATAGCCCATCTGAAAGGAGAGAAAGTCACTGAGCTTCTCTAGGATGCAGGTGCAGTAATACCAGGAGAGACCGCTCAGACACACAAAGAGAAAATCATTGCGACTCTGTGGTTCAGTGAGACTGTGTGTGTGTGTGTGTGTGTGTGTGTGTGTGTGTGTGTGTGTTCCCAAAAATGCAAAGAAGACAAACTCGAGATAGAGTACTAATCAGACTGTCAATTTTTGTCTGTGAGCAGTGAGCAGGTGGTTGCACCTTCAGGGGCCTTTCCAAGCCTTTGATGAGATGCTTTTCTGCTAAGGTCTTAGAAGAAAGGCACTGCTTCCCCTCCCCCACCTTCACTCAGCTTTTTACCGGTTCATCATTCTCTAGACTAAGCCAAGTAAGACTGTGCACTCTGCGACCCTTCTCTCACCATCCGTTAGGACTATACCCAAGTCTTCCAATGGCCACCTCTACTCTTCGCCTTCCCATTCATGAAGAGTGTTCAGTTAGGGTTTATAGTTCAGGGTTACTCTTCCGAACAGACAGCTGGGCGTAAACCATAGAGCAGAAAGAGTATTTGCTAGAAGGGAGCAAATTCCAGCAGACCACTTCCTGCTCTTGTTTTCCTGGGCAAGCAGCGAGGTGAGTGGGTATTTTCACCATTGGTATGCTGCAGACGACAGGCTGCCTCTGAGTCACGGAAGCGCTTGATGCTGGCCTCTTCTCAATTTACAGTTTTAGCTGTCTTTGTCTATGCTGACATAGCGACCCTTGCCTTTAATTCCAACACTGAGAGGGCAAAAGCGGGTGGATCTTCACGAGTTCAAGGTCAGCCTGGTCTGCGTGGTGAGTTCCAGGTCAGCCAAAATTCACTTGGCAAGACCTTGTCTCAAAACAAATAAATAAATATAAAAACAAAAACAAACAAGTAAAAACCAAAATCTATATTTGTCTATATTTTAAAAGTGGGAGATTTCTAATCTCAAATCTTCAGAGATTTTTTTTGGCTTCTCACCCCAAAATTACCAAATAGAAAAGGTCAAAATGTATGGATCCACTCACAAAAAAATAAATCATCAGTTGACTTTAAAAAGGACTTGTAGGATGGACACACATGGTACCCCCTCAAATCCCAGACTTTAGGGTCTGTGAGGATGCTCTGTGCCCAGTGCCGGAGGTACCATCATACCAAGTGCTGCCAGAGGTCTCTAGACCTGGGCATGGCAAAGAGAAAAGGCAACAACTCCATGCCATCCCTTGTGGCTAGTATGGGCAGTGTTTAGTCAAGTGCCACCAGTGACCCAATCAAGAGCCCTGATGTTGGCCAGTTGGTCACCACTGTGCTGAGAGAGTACAAGGCGGGGCAGCTGCAGCAGGACCATAGTCCTTGGTAGCAGACCGGGTCAGGTTGCCACCATGGCCTCAGGTGAATGAGTGCAGGCTATCCAGTTGGTGTCCCCCACAGCAGTGAAGCACTCCAACAAACATGACCCCCCTATTATGGTCCAGATCACAGGCTCTTGTGGGGCCCCCAGTGATGACAGAAACCACAGGCATCAACACATGCCCGCTGGGCTGTGCCAGGGCCCGAGAGCAAGACCTGGACCTTGATTACAGCCCAGGCCCAGGCATATCCCTGGACTTGGGTGGCCAGCTGGCCAGTCCCATCAGGCCATTCCTCACCACCCTCACCTCTCCAGATCTGCCTCTCTCCCCAGCCCACAAGCCCCCCTGTGGCATCAAGACCAAAGGCCGTGTCTGGTTCCATGGCCCAGTTGCAGCTGTGGGCTGTAGTGATTCCCACGGCTTGTGTTATCACTGGGGTCATTGGTACCATGCTGTTCTGAGTCGTCCCCACCCTTCACTGGCCCTGGTATCACCTGCCCCTTGATGGGTATTGTCACAGGTAAGCCCCACCCTTCAGGGGAGAACTCAACTCCACACTTGAGAAAGATGACCCCACCCCTCACCTGGGAATCACACTAGAGTTGACCCTGTGGACTGGGGCACAGATGAGTCAACCCCAAGGGCGTGAGGGCAGGAGAACTGACCCAGCTCCCCCCTAGTCTGCCATGTGATGGTATGGGTGAGGCAAAGATGCCCTTTCGTCCTCTGCCCATTGCTACCTGTGGCAGGTGAAAGGGCTGGCCCTGGGGTCACAAGAGTAGGACAGCTAGCCCTGATCCTCATCGACTGCAGTGCTGGAGAAAGCAGCCTCTGCTTCCCGTCCAGGTCCGGACAGTACACTAGAGCTGACCCTCCTCCATGCTTTGCTACCTGCGGCAAGAGAGAGAGCTAACCCGGGGCCATGAGAAGGAAAGAACTAGCCCTGTCCGACACAAGCCATGAAAGTGAGTTCTGCGTTCTGCCTGGGCAGCACACTACAGCTTACCCTGTTGTTCAGGATCTCAAGTGAGCCAGCTCTGAGGGCATGAGAGCGGGAGAGCTGATCCCACCCCCACCTCATGTGGCCCCTACAGCAAACAGGAGAGAGGACCCTGTACCTTGCCTGGCCCTGGCGATATGAGTGAGGGGGACTGCTGTGGGATTATGCTCTTGTACACTGTAAAGATTTGTCACTTGTACTAGCTTAATATAATACTGATTGGCCAGTAGCCAGACAGGAAGTATAGGTGGGGCAGCCAAACTAGGAGAATGGGAAGAGGAAAGGCAAAAAGTCAGTTACCTACCAGATGCAGAGGAAGCAAAATTAGAATGCCTTCCTGAGAAAAGGTACCAAGCCACATGGTTAAACATAGACAAGAATTGTGGGTGAATTTAAGCCATAAGAGCTAGTTAGTAATAAACCTGAGCAATAGGCCAAACAGTGTATAATTAATATAAGCCTCTGTGTGTTTGGGGGGGACTGAATAGCTGCAGGACTGGGTGAAACAGAAACTTCCATCTACAGGGGACTCAGATCTGATGGCCTGAGAGCAGAACTGCCCCTGCTCCTTGTTGTAGGCTGCATTGGATTAGTCGGCCTGGGCAGTGCTGGAAAGCTCAGCCAGGTAGTGACAATGACAGAAAGCTAGAGAGCTGACCAACCCAGCCACCACCCAGGCCCAGAACCAGGGCCATGAGTTGGTCCACCCCAGCATCCACCGAATCTATGAACCGTCAGAGCTTGTGAAGGGGATGAATCTACAGATCCCAAACAGCAGCATCTCCATGCCACAGGACAACAACAGGGTCTCCAAAAGGAGCCCCAGTGAGAGCCCATTATTGGTGGAGTAGAGCAACCAGAGGACTTGAGCCAGACCAGTGATATGTGGTAAGGAACACTTGCAAGTAAGGATGAAGGGACTAAAGGGTAAACTGTGTGTCTCAACAGGCCACACTACACCTTCAGTAAGATCCCTCCTTCTTGTTTTGTTTTGTTTGCTTTAGTTTTAGTTCTTTGTTTTGAGTTTTGGTTTTTCTTTTAAATTTGACTTTGTTTTTCAGGGAGGTTGCAAGGGCAGAAGGCAGATGCGAGGAGACAGGGAGACAAGTGGGCTCTGAATGTATGATGTGAAATTCACAGAGAATCAATACAAGTAAAAAGAAAAAAGACTTGTGATTGAATTTTAAAATCTGGTTTTTCTTATAGGATAATATTCTTAGTGCTAGACAGCAGCTATGTCAACACAAAAGCTAGAAACGATTACATGATAATCAGAAAAGAAGGATAGCACATACTAAAATAAAATTGCTTGTTCTGTGCCCTATTTAAGGAGCCCAGACATTTACTTACCAAATTGATATCCGATACTTGTCCTGTGCAGTCAGCTCGCCCAACACCAATGTAGTAGCCACTGAAGTTCTGAGATGGAGGAGGGTCTGAAATGTGTGTGATCGGAGAGGTCTGGGTGGCTGGAGGAGGGTCTGAAATGTGTGTGATTGGAGAGGTCTGGGTGGCTGCAGGGCCCTGGGTGGTTGAAGACCCATGATTTCCGGAGTCTAAAAACAGAACAGGACATTTGAGAAACAACACTTTATGGCACTTATGCCCTGGCCGCGATTAGAAGACAGAGTTTCGAATTTTCAAGGATGACGTTTACTGTTGCCTCTCATTTTTAGTTTTCTTTGGCTTTGGATTGGTCCATTCATTTCTTAGGACCGTGTCTCATTATGGAACTCAAGTTGGCTTTGAACCCAAAGATCTTCCAGTCTTTGCCTTCTATATGCTGGGATTGTAGCTGTGTGCCACCATGCCTAGCGTAATGCATTCGCCTATCTATAAAATCGAAAGTGAGACCTGGGAGCCTGTGTGCAATCATAAGTCAAAGCACCGTCTTGCTCCTGGACTCTCCAACCTCAGCTTCTCCCCAACATTTCCTTGTTGCCCTTCTTGTCCCTTCCCTACTTTCCTACCCTACTCGAGCCAATCATGTAGAAGTGACTGCTGCTAAGCCTCCTAAATCCAAGCTTTGGGTTGGACTTCTTTTTCCACTCTCTCCAGACTTCCCACTGCTCCCCTCTCCATCAAACGCTGTCCACCACTCCCTTCCGAGCCGATCCATCTCCATCATTCCTGCCTCTAGCCCGGTTCCTCATCAAAGATGTCATCCAAATGTCACTGCCCTGCTTTGGTCCTTAGCCTGCTAAGGCCTTTTATTAATGCAGCTTGAATCATTGTATACTTGGTGACGTAATTCTACATCAATGTCATTTTTCTAATACGTGTGTGGATGCATTAATGCACACATATTCCATACCGAATGTGCGTGTCTATAACATATAAAGACATAGGAATATCAGAGGATGCAAAATGATATAAAGATTAAAAGGCAAGTGCCAGACACAAACTTCTTGCTTTGAAATTTAATTCTCCCAGTTATTAGTGGAACAAATGGCCTAATCTAATTCCCTCTGACTTTGTCACCTATAGTAAGAGCTTAAGGTGCTTCCTGGTGCAGTTTTGTGCGGCAACCGTGTGAAGACACATTAAAGCTGGAGCGCTGTTACTCTCTTGCTTTGGTTTTCTTTCCAGCTGGGAATGTTGTACATCTAGACCTTTGTTCATTTGTTTTTCTACTTCCGGACAGTAGCCAGGAGTAGCCACAGCATTAAATGTCGTTGTCATAGACACTGGCAGTCAGAACAACTTGGAGACTGATAATTGGCTTCTTCCAAGATTCCAGAACTTTGGAACGAAAATTCTAGAGACCAACAACTCCAACTGTAACCGACCTGGCAGTGGTGAAGATATTCCTAAGGGACACTTGCCCGTCCTCCTAGCTATTAGCTACTTCAACAATGGACGCCAAGTCATTGGAATGTCCCCAGAAATCTCATGCTCCAAAGAGGAAAAGGGCGGGAACCTGGTGCCAGTCGGGGGTGGGGCAGGAGCTTACCTGCTAGAACAAGATCTCCTATTGTCCTGACAACTTGTCAGAACACCTTGCAAGACAGGACAAACTGAGACAGAATGTGTAACCAAGCAGCTCCGCATTCCACTTTCCTTGTGTTTAAATTAACCCTCATGCCAGGGGACTTGGGGTGGAAGGGTCACTGACCCTCTGGGTTCCTCTTTCCACTGTTACCTTATTGAATAAATCTTTCTATGCTCTTCAGTATGACTTTGTCTCTTTAATTGACCCATTATGGACAAATAGTCAAGCATAGCTTGATAGGGTTTCCAGGGCCCAGGCTCCCACCCTCACAACTCTGCTGATATAATCTCCTTAAGTTTAGAAATAAGAACCTCGACACTTGGAGAAGTGACAAACTGAGACTTCATGACGAACATGTGATGAATCTGGTGCCCACAGCACCTCAGATGAGGCTCTGATATTCTTGCAACTGTGTCTCAGGGCTACAAACACACGTGTCTCCTGCACAGCCTCAGATGTTACAGGGAGAGAAGCGTAACTTTTGCTTTTGCTGCACTGCCACCAGCATCGAAATGTGACACAAACTAAGGCCAAGTCTCATATGGAAGGGAAACTCTTTGCATTCTTCACGTTTCAATGTGTAAAATGGCATCAACATGAGGACTTTATAAGAATTTTGTGAAAATAGATGAAAAAATGTATGGAATTCTTATTAAACTGCACCACCAAACCACCGCACCAAAGCACGCGCGCGCGCACACACACACACACACACACACACACACACACACACCAAGAAAAGAGTAGCTATTTATGAGAATATGCTGTGGCTTCTAATAACCCCGGAGTCTCCATCTCACTAATTTTAGGAACCACATTGACTGAGCAATGGTAAGTCCTGGGATGATTTCATTTCCAGTTGTCCAGGAGTCTGTTTCACCCACCACTACAACAGAGAACCCTACTCTTTTGTGTTTGCAGAGAATCTGCAGTGCCAAGACGTGGTAAGGAGGACACTGCAAACAAAAAAGAGGCTACAACTGAAGACACTAGAGAAAACTTCCGGCTCCTTTGCCACTTTACCTGAGGTCAGCTCTTGCTCTCTCTCTTTAATGTGATCAAAACAGTAAGCCCTCATCAATCTTCTCTATTCAGTTAACAGCCATGTACCTTTGCCCTGAAATAGAGGCCCCACCAATGACCCAATGATAATATTACCTGGAAATGCAGCCTACGTTACATTCAGGAACCAAACTTGCTTCCTACATTGCAGCCAGAAAATCAGGCATTATCTAAACAAAAAATTTCTATCTCCTCTCAAAATCTTAGGCGAGTTAAGCTAATATGATGTCATGCTACGGTGCACCTTGCAGGCAGAACGACAGGCCAGCCCTTGTAGGGATTGAGGCTGAGAACCTGCCTTTACCTGTTTTAGGATGGTTTGATTGATTCGCGTTGTTTTCTGTTTTGCTCCCACTACGCCAACCAACAGGCAGGTAAAGATTGAAGGCCTATCAGCAAAAGGTGGACTTACTAGACTCAGAAGGACCTTGAACTGTGAGTACATCAACAGAAAAACTAAGAGGACTTGTGTATCTGTTTGTTATCTGGCCATTTGTGGACAAAGGTAAAATGATAAAAGCTGCTGTCTTTGCAGAAAACCTAACTCGTGCAGTGGGAGATGACATCTCAGGCTGCTCACAGGCAGCTGAAGCAGAAAGACACCATTTTAGGTCTTGATGCCATCCACCCATCAAGAAATATCCTACAGGTCTGGGAAAAACATCAGAAGAGCCCCAAATGCTTGCCTTTGTTGTTTTCAATGGTCCCACTGGTGACGAACAAGAGGGTGAGAAGAGCCACGGTGATGACTGTCATCATTACCAGCAGGAAAATGAGGAATGCCTCCAAGGAGGAGAAGGTACGCTTTGCCATTTCTCCTAAGACAAAACAGAGCAGGAAAAGGAATCACAGATTCATGAGCATGCGCTTCAAGCTGCTGGAGACTATGTGGTCATAGATATCTCTTCCATTTCAGTAGATTATAACAAGTTGAAAGCACAGAACACACTCACCTCTGGGTCCGTGACCCAAATCCTTTGAAACCAAGGCCAACACATAAAAGTACTCTTTTTGAAAAGCCTGGATATAATTTCCAAATCTTTCTCAGCTCACTGATCCTCTTGGTAACAACTCCTACGATTTGACACTGACATCTGAAGAAAAATTCATTTGGCAATACCATACCTCTTTTGTTTGTGGCAAAAAAAAAAAAGCTATGGATTTACACACAAGTGTTTGCTAAGAGTGCTTCTGTCTGTAGTGGACTGATAAGCAACTCATTACTTGAACTCTGCGGGAGGCTGGCTGACTTAGAGCTGTGTTTACAGACCAAGTAAAATCATCTTGTCCAGGGCCTAGAGAGTTGGCTTCACGATTAAGAGTATTGGCTGATCTTCCAGAAGATCCAGGTTTGATTATGAGCAGCCACACAGAGGTCCACAACCATCTGCAACTCTAGTCCCAGGGCATTTGAGATCCTCTTATGGTTTCTCAGGGCACTAGACATGCAAGTAATACAGACGTAGTTGCATGGCAAACAGTTAGACACATAATAAAATAATGTAGACTATTTATTGATTTATGGAAACAGTGTCTTTTTGTAGACCAGGCTGGCCTCGAACTCACAGAGATTTACTTGCCTCTGCCTCCCAAGTATTGAGATTAAAGGAGTGTACTACCACTCCCAGATAAATTTATTTTAAAAAAAATAATAAAGAAAAAGAAGCATGATCTTGTCCAGATGGAGGTGAAACCCACTACATTACTGTTCAAACTCTGTCGTCACCTTCACTTACATCCTGGTACAGAAAAGGAGATTGGTGGCTCAAGCCAGGAATTTGTAAAAAATCTCTTTCAGTGATCAAAAAGATGTCTCATAACTTTAGCTCCTGTTTTCCAGAAAAGTACCACTTTACCATCTCCTTTACAATATTTCAGAAGAATTTATCAGCGTCCAAAGTGACCTTGGATATCAGAATCCTCTACAATATGAGAAGAAATATGACCTGGTGTTTTAAAACTAATTTCTGAAGTCTAGCTACGAAGTTGAAGTCTCTTACTTTCCCCTTACAGGGAAACCTTAGATACTCAGCACAGATACATGGTGATCATTTTAGGATCCATGTTACAGAATTCCATAAAATGAGATGCTATGCTGTCTGCTTTACTTCTTTGATCCCAAGACTGAATTAAGTGTGCAATGATTTTCTTTATTACTACGTGTCACACAGTAAAGGTGGCATCCCTCTCACAGTTGGCTGTTAAAGGGTTATTACAAACCCGGGTGAGATTTTTTTGGAACAGTTTTTCATTAAATTTGGGAGGGGGTTGATTTGTTTATTTTATATGTGTGAGGGTTTTGCCAGCATATTTGCATGTGTAACACACAAGTGCCTGGTCCTCAAGTAGGTCACAAGTCAAATTCCTCAGAAGGGGCATTAAGGATGGCTGTGAGCCACTATGCGGGTGCTAGAAACCGAGTCAAGGGCTTCTGCAAAAGCAACCGGCACTCTAATCAGTGAGCCATCTCCAGCCGGAACCTGTTTGCTTAACCTGTGCTTTAGGAAGCTCAAGCAGTCATATGGGGTTGAACTTCCAGGACTTGGCCTCCAAAGCAGCAGCTTCTGGCTAAGACACTGGTCACGTAAGAGTTTCTCTTGTTGTTTTAAAATGACAAGATAGCTGCATTCAGATAAGCTAAACGATATCATTGTCAGATTCTGTTAAGATAGAAGTTACACTTATAAATCCAAAAGTTGGCATTTCACCCAAAGATAGTTCCAAAATATGGCAGCAGCTGCTGCCTTCAGGTGTGCCAGGTTCTCTCTACCTGTTAATCCCTACCCAAGGGCCTGAGCCACCTAATTGCTTCCTGGTTTCTTTACGGACTGAATTGTGTAATCCTTGGGCTTCAAGGTAAAAAATCAACTGAAAAGCAGAAGTTACTGGATTGGAGAGATCAAGGAAATGACAGAAAGACAGGAACAAGTTTTCTTATTATTTCTTATTTTCTCCTTCTTTTATTGTGACTATGCTCATCCTCAACATCAATGTCAGAGCCACCTCCATTCTAGGACAAGACAAGTTAGGTCTGTGCCTTGGTCCCAATTCCCTTCATCAGTCTTGAGAATCAGGAAACACTTCTAAAACATACTTCTGGACCTCTATACTTAAGGAGATTTGCCAATCACTAGATGCTGTTTCAGTAACAGATTTTAAGCCCGTTATATTTAATACTTGCTTACAGCATTTTTTAAAAAATATTTTAATAAATACTTAATATACTTAAGTAATATATAATAATTGATAATATATTATATTTTACATAGCTAATATATAACAATATATAAATATATAACATGTAAAATGAATAAAATAAATATAAAAATTTAAATAACTTTTTAAAAAGCTATTTCTAGGTGCTTCTTCTTCTGAATCAAGATGTGGAACAACTGGGTATCTCAACCCTCGAGCATCAGAATACAGACTGTATATATAAATGTGGTCACGGCTTGCCTGTGGAACATAGGTAATGTGTGTGTTTGTGTTTATGTGTATCTGTGTGTGTGTGTGTGTGTATGTTGGTTTTACACTATTAACCCTCTATACAAAGCAAGAACTCACTTGCTCTAGGCTCTTACTGGATCTTGAGTGCTCTACCCCCTAAGCTTCCCCACTCTGTTCCCACGAGTGCTGCTAACACATTCCCATTCTTTTTCAACTACGTCAGCTGACTTTACCACCCCCTTCCAGGCCATTCAACTTTGTAGTAGCCCTGTTTATTTCCAGCATTGATTAATAAAGTCTCAAATCAAACATGAGGGAAGCTCAGAATGCGGATATTCCATAAGGCACCTCACCTCTCACTACATCTTAAATGAGTCTGGATTTCACAGGTGGCTCCCTTGATCGGGCAGAAGCCAGCAAGTGTAGCTATCTGTCATAGCTCCGCAAAGATCTGCTTTTCAAGGAGACAACTACTATGAAAAAAATTAACAATCGGGCACAAACGAGCTTTCAAAACTATGCAAACGAGGTGAAGCTTCCAGATGTTACCCAGGTCTTAGGTAATAAGATATGAGCTATGGTTCCTTTCCATCTATCCCCATTGAGAAAAAAAAAACAAAAATCGTTCTTACCTGATTCTGGGAATCAAAGCAGTGTTGACCTCCCAGGAGAGCAAATGACCATTCAGAATCTTGCTCCTTGTCCCTTGCAGGTTATGAGGCTGATTGCTCAATGCGTTCCCAAATCTACTGAGGAAAGATTCCATAGTCAAGTCCAGGGCCTCATTAGCATACCTGTGGCTGCAGCGGGAGGATGTGAGTGACTAAAGTACATTGATTATAGAACTCTGACACGCACACTCGCGCACTCTCCTGAACCTGCCTGCTACAGGAGGCAGATGCCAAAGAAGGCCTGTTAGACCGAAGGTCATTTCGATCTTAATGCAACTCTTCCAGTACAACAAGTTCTGACGACAAGAACTGCAACCCACATGGCTGAAAATATTTATCTCCTGTATTGATTCAGCCTGTGAGCTGGAAGAAAATGGATGTTGCTGGGCATGGGTGTGGGCTACGGGAACCACTGAGGGATATTTATACCTGTTTCAGAACAAAGCAGTGATTTTAATGTTTTGGTTTTCGGGCCCTTGTAGCAAAACGGAAAGTCCAAATTAAACAAGAATGTGATTCATAAATAATATAGATATTCAAAATTATATTGGAAGCAAGGCACGGTACTGTACACCAAGCATTAGAGACCAGTCTGCAGTATGTTCCAAGAGCCTGTCTTAAAATAGTGACCATGACGGAAGTATCATAGAACTGACGAACTGAGAAGTTCCAATGACACCAAATATTAAGTTTTTCAAGTTTGCAATAGCACATGATAAAGATCAAACAGACATAAGAACGGATGGCAAAATTGAAGTAATTATCTAGTGATTAATGGTAGCTTTTGTTCTGATTTTTTTCATCCCTTGGTGGTTTCTGTAACAGTCCTGTATCACTTTTGTAAAGAAGAAAGGGACTGTTTTTCTCCTCCTTAAATACTGTCTTCTATGCAAGCGGGAAGCTAAACAATGGCCTGTCAGCACAGGCTCACCCCCCTGTTTGGATTCCCTTTCTTCCTCCTAAATTCAAGGTCTAGGTAGCAGCTTGCTTGCAGGCCGTCTGATCCTTTGCAGAGTTAGAAATGACAGAGGTCTCTAGAATTACAAGTAAATGCCTCTAGACAGATCACCAAGTGCTGAATCTTAATGCTGTCTGCTACTGCAAAAAAGGAACAGTTTAAGTCATGGCAGCAAAGGAGGGGGTTTTTAGTTGGCGTATTTAGGTTAAAATTCTTAAAGGTAGCTAAGGTAAGCAGCAGCAGGAGAGGGAGGGGGATGAGATTTCTCAGGAGGAACAGTTCTGCACATAGCAGAGCAGGAGCTCCAGAACCTGCCATGGAGATGGGTACTTTCCAGTTACTTCAGGGCACTGTGCTCTTTCTTTGGTCTTTGAGTCCTGAAAGATGGCGTCTAACTGCTCCAGCATGGATCAAATTCTTAGGGCTACATGGGCCTGCTATGGAGCTTTCTGTCAGTCATCAGGGCAGGTTCAAGCCTGGAGGGCAAAGGAGCTTCAGAATGCAGACTGCTGATAGCTGTAGTTCCCGTACAAACTGGAGGGAAATCTTTCCTCACCTAAACTGTAGTCATTAGCACCGCGGGCGCACGCGCACATCACATGTGCACAAGTGCCAGTGGAGGCCAGAAGAGGGTGCCATATTCCGTGGAACTGGGATTACTGGTGAGCAGCTTGCTAAGCACACTGGGAACTGAACTCAAGTCCTTTGGGAAAGCAGCAAGCACTCTTAACAACTGACCCATCTCTCCAGGTCCCAAATTTTCACAATATGTTACTTATGTCTTTCACTTCTGGGCCTCAACAGGCAAGGTACTGACTTCTTATATGCTACATTGACAGTCACAGCCTTTTATTCTTTAAGCAATTTTAAAATAATTAGAAACTGAACTAGTTTAAGAAAGCACCTGTTTCCAATGGCATCCATATTTTCCTTTATATCATTTCTTGCTCAAGAAACCAAATATCCTTAGAGAGACAGGAATTACATGAACTAAATCTCTAATATATCAGAATTCAAGAAAGTCATCAAGATTATTAGAACTGTGCCAAAAGAACTAAAAAAGTTCCTAATCTAAGACTGATAGTTAGTTTTAAAATAATTTTAGAATGGGAAGAAACAAATACGTCTGAATCTATGATCTCATAAAGGCAGTAGGCATTTTCATTTCATATAGTATTTTAGAGTTTTGTGATTAACATAATAATTGTTCTTGTTTATGAAGCACAATGTAATATTTCAACTCATGGGTACTAATAAAATCAGGACAGCATTTCCACTTTTTTGTCATTACCCTCTGATCGGTCACACAAGCTGATGCTCTAAGCCGCAGCATTTCATCCCTGTGCTGCAGACCATCCTGTCTGTCAAACCATCATTTCTGAAAAGACCGTAAGGAACAAATTCTCCTTCCTAATAGCTGGTAGCACAAAGAAAGAAGGTGGGGGAGGAAAGAAGGAAGAAAGAAAGGAGATAATTGGGGGGGGATTTCAGAAATAAAAAAATCTATTCTGCTTTTTTCTGTACAAATCTACCCTGGAAGAGTCAAGTAATTGGTAAAAGACATTTCCTCACCATCTAAGAAATGGGCAGGACATGAAAAAGACTCAGCGCAGAGATCTGGCAAGTCTCTGGGTGATGGTCAAAACTCACTTTCAAAAGTTTTGTCATTAAGTTAAACTGAAATCTGAGTGCTTGCTTTATAGACAACACAAAAACACAAGAGACTGTGTGACAGGACCGATATGCTGAGTCAGCCAGAAAAGGCCAGGCTGCCCAGTACTGAACAGTGAACTGGGTTCTATAAATGCAGATGAGGGGAAAGGAGGGGCAGTAAGAGTGGAAGGAACCCACTGGGGCTGGGAGAGAGAAGGACAAGAAAGCCTTGATGATGATAAGGAGGGATGGAGAAGAAAGGAGAGGGACAGCACAGAGTACCAGAGCCCTAAGAGTCAGAGCAGCATCGGACACTGTAAGCACCAAGCCGGCGTCACTTGGAATCTGATTAAGAGAAAGCAGATGTGTGTTTCCCCCGAAGTTCTGAAGCAATTCGGGAAAGCTGAATACTGTCTAGGCATCACAAGGCTATTAAAGAGTTTTGTTCAAATGTTAGTATGGTAATGATGTTGTGGTTATGTTTCTGAAGAAATTTTGTTGTGGTTGTTGTCCTGAAATAATTCTGAAACAGAATTGTTTTTTAAGAGAATAGAAGAAAGCAAACAAAAAAGACTAATTTAGATGGGTGGGTGGGAGGACAGATGCATGGATAGGTGGACGGACAGGACAGAGGCATGAGAAACAAGCTTTGTTTGATATGCTGGTTGGCAGGGCAGACAGGTTTCAGGTAATAGCAGATGGAACAGAAGGCTTCACTCAATTTCCATTCCAATCCCAGATGCTGGACCCGCACCTGCCTATTCTGCCATCACGGATGAGGACCTGCCTGTCAGATGCACTGCCGTGAGACTAGAATCAGGACTGAGCCATTTGGAGAGACGCGGGGTCATGGGCATGCGTCCTACCACTTTATCTCATGGCAACATGGACCTTCTAGCAGCTTCCTGGCTGTTTTCTCATTCCACAACTCTGACCCACGTGCTCTGTCTCTGAGCAGCAAAACTCTAAAGGTTAAACTAAGTCCAAGAGCTCAGCCTCAACCCTTGGTCTTTAGCCTAGGCAGAAGATTCCAGTGTTATCTCAGCCCTGTGAAAATTCTTTGCTTCTAAGCTCCCTGGGAGAGTCTCTGATATGCGCCCACTAAAAACAGTCCGAGCTCGGCCTCATAAAAGCAAGTGCTGGACCTTCCACTCCTTGAAAAATGTCTGCATTCTAAGCAGTAGATTCTGTTCTGTTGAAATAGGAGCGGAGGGGCTGCGTCCCCGGCACCTGGCCGCCCGCATGGCTAGTTTATACCCAGAAATAATTACACGGAAACTGTATTCTTTCAAACACTGCCTGGCCCGGCTAGGTCCAGTTTCTTATTGGCTAGCTCTTACATATTGTTCTAACCCATTTCTAATATTCTGTGTAGCCCATGAGCTGGCTTACCAGAGAGGATCTTAACCTGCGTCTGTCTGGAGTGGGAGCATCATGGCGACTCTCTCACTAAGCTTCTTTCTCCCAGAATTCTCTTCTGTCTACTCCGCCTACCTAATTTTCTGTCCTATGAGGGCCGAGGCAGTTTCTTTATTATTACAAGACCCACCTCCATCATTTCCCCTTTTTCTGTTTAAACAAAAAAGAAAGGCTTTAACTTTAACATAGTAAAATTACATATAACAAAACAGTTATCAAGTAAGAATTACAGTTACAATATTTATATCTATTTTATCTTTTTTTTATCTTTTATCATAACAAAGGAAAACTATAACTATCTATTCATTCTTCAACTCCATCAAAGACTCCAGAAGGATATAATATTACCTATCAAACAAGAAATAAGAAAACTCTAGAAATGACAGAGACATCTCTCTGCCTGGACAGTCACCCAAAGTTCCTCTGTACCGTTGGGGTATCCATCTTCGGCCTACAGGCCCATAGTATCCAGCAGTCATTTTCATCAAGCAGGAAATTCCAAAGACAGTTCAGTCACTTTCTGCTGTGTCCTGTAGAATGTCTCGTAGACTCTTTCATGAATCAGGAACCCCGAAAGACCATCTCACCTTTAGGCAAGTTCAGCAGTCCTCTCTCTGCAGGTTCTTTGTGTCCAGTTTATGCAACAGTCCAGGCAAGAACAGTTTCTTGCCCAAATGACTATCCAACTCCATAAGGATCCTCTTCGATGCCCATCTTCCTCTTGAAGTAGCTGGTGCTGCCAGGAGCAGACGTGTCTCCTTGTCATGAAAAGTCCTAAGTTATTAAAATATTTTAAATGCCATATTCTGCAGCCTTTGAGAGATATGAAGAATGTTAAGTTAAAGCCTTCTTTTTTTTTTGTTTAAACAGAAAAAGGGGAAGTGATGTGGGAGTGTCATATATCAATCTGTTGATTTCATTGGTTAAGTTATAATAAACCAACTGCTTGGCCTCAGCTTGGAACATAGATGGGAGGAGTAAACAGAATAGAATTCTGGGCGGAAGAGGAAGTGAGGTCAGACTCTGCTCTGCTTCCGGGGACAGACCCGACAGCTCTGCTGGAGCAGAGACGCCATGCTCAGCTCTCCCAGGCAACTCCAACCCACGATGGACTTAGGCTAGAATCTTCCCGGTAAGCGCACCTTGGCGTGCTTACAAACATTATTAGAAATGGGCTAGTCCAGGGGCGAGAATTAGCCTGTAAGGGCTAGAGTTCAGGGGCCAAGCAGTTCTCAAATGAATACAGTTGGTGTGTTGTTATTTCGGGCATGAGCTAGCCAAGCGGCTGGGGTGTTGGGGACGCAGCCCCGTCGCCGCTCTTATTTCAACACTGTTCACATCAAACGGTTTCTGGGAACATTTGGGGGAAGCGGTGTGTATGTGTCTGCTCGATGTATATACACTGTGTGCATGTGTGTACGTGTAGGCAGGAATCAACTTTGTATGAAATTTCTCAGAAATCATCCACTTTGTTTTTTGAGGCAGGGTCTCTTACTGGGTCCTGAGGTTCACTGATTACACTTGGCTGGCCATCAAGCCCCAGGGACCTGCCTATCTCAGTATCTCTAACAGTCTAAAAGCAGGCTTCCAGGCACAGGGCACCATGCCTAGCTCTTTAAGTGGGTATTGGGGACTCCTCTTAGGCCCTCATGCTTATATAGCAAGTGGTTTGATAACTGAGCCGCCTTCCAAGGTACTCTGGACTGACCTTTAAAATGTAAAGTGATGAGCAGTTTGACACAGTAAACTTTCATAAAAGAAATTAATTTTAAATGGGCTGACATTGGTAGTACATTACCAACTCACAGAGACTGCACAGGGATGGGGGAAAAATTGCTTTGAATCCCAAAAGATTTTAGCTTAACTGTAGATTCACCTTTTCACTCGTATCAGTTTAACCTTGATCTGCAAGAGAAATCCCTGCTCTTGCAATCTGGAATTTGGATGTCTCCTTGAAGGCCACCTGCTACACTTATCCTACAATGAGTCTGGGATCGCACGCAGTTAGGGACATTCTACCACGCAGTGGGAAGCTCAAGGCCCTGAGCAAAGACCTAATGAGAACCCTAGCACCAAGAAGCAGAAGGTATAAAACACGAAAGAACACACTAACCACCCTAGAAAATTCACCAAGTCAGTGTAGTGGCCTAAAGACGCCAGTAAGCACTGAGCAGCCTCTAGCTTTGCCAAAAATAAATAAATAAATGAGAGAAATGGCCAGCGTTGTTGGAGAGTCCCCCCCAGCTGACTCCAGCTCTGCCTTGGATGCAAAGGAAAAAGATAACAGGGGCCATTTGGGGCGTGGGAGCAGCTGCGACTTGAATCTGAAGGTTAATACTGGTTTCTTTAAACACTCTGGGATTTATTTTTCCTTCTTAGAACAAGAAAACCTAACAAGAACATAGCTTGTTAAAACATCATGGGATAATACAATTTTTTAAAGTTCTTTGCTAATTTTATAAGCAAATGTCAGTTGTGACACTGTGTGCCTGTCTACGAGTGGTAGCTTCTGTGCCTCTAAACCCCTACGGCATAGTTATCTTTTCTTAGCCCCTGTCTTCTGCTGGGTTCCAAAGATCTCCCTACTGAGCTTTGAGAAGCTGCCCGGTGAGAGGAGATAAAATAGGACTTGCAAAACCTCCCCACTTCTGCACTTGTGATCAGCCCTGGAGATCTGTATAACCTTTTCCAGAGTGTTTGGAAATTATTCTCTGGTGATTTATCCTTTTCCAAAGCCACAGATAAGAATTTGTTTCATTTTGTCAGAGACAAATGTGACATGTTTGCCATACAAGATTGCAAAGGCAGATGGGAAGGAAACAGGCAACAGCTGCATTTATCATCATTCCAGAGACAGGGTGACAATATCTTTTCGTTTAACTCTTGCCCACCCTATAAATCTTGGCGGCTTGGCATCCCCTGCTTAGACCGTGGGCCTATGGGAAAAGCGCCACATTGTCTTTTGATAAAACTTGAGAAAAGATGGAGAGTCGGGAGACAGCCTGATAGTATCCAGAACTGGCTGGACTCAAACACTTTTTCCAAGACACAAAAGCTAAAGGCGAGGCTGAGAGAAGGCTGGTGGAGGGGATAATGTCTTCCACGTACTGAGCGGAAAAAGACCTGGGGATAAGATGCACCTGGTGAGAAACCCCCACTTCCCTGCCTAGAGCACACCCATCTACAGCCATGCACAGAGTCCCCGCGACCCACATTAGATTCACCAAGAAGCAAAAGGTAGCGGGAGCCTGGCAGCATCTGTATTTGTCACCACCTGACAAGAAGCAACTTGAGGGATTCGTTTTGGCTCCCAGGATGAGGGTACAGAATCTTAGCAAGGAAGCCATGGGGGCAGGGACAGCTGGAAGAAATCGCAGCGAGTGAGGGGAATGGCAACACTCACCCGGCCGGTTCCTGTTTTCTCCCTGGCCCCGAGTCCCTGGCATGATGCTGCCTATGCAGGGTGGGTCTTCTTCCTGAATTAATCCTCTTTAGAAAGTTCCTTACAGAGATGCCCAAAGGTGCACTTCACTAATGCCCTAGGAATTTCTTCATTGAATTCAGCTGACAATCAAAGTTAGTCACCCAGCTCCTATTCGGGAACCACATGCCCCTTCTCACATTGTCTCCTGATGTGGCCGTTCCTCTACATTCCAAGGAGATTCCTATAGAAACCTCGGACAAGGGAGGAAAATATTCTCACTTATATGAATCTCCTAGAGAGATATTGCCTGCAGAGGGACTAATCCCTGCAGATTTTTCATGCATTTGCAATGGTGGTAATGGCAAGATGGCATGTAACACTCCAAGGCTGAAGAGGCTCAAGAGGTACAGTTGAGGAAATCAGAGGGTCAGTATCTGACACTTGTCTACCACTAAGCTCCTCTGTTAGCCAGACACTGAGGTGGACCTTGAATCTGGAGTAACTGAGACTACAGTTGGAGTTACCTACCTAAGTTGGGTGCCTACGTGTTTAGGGGCCACATCAGTCTATGAGTCAGAGCAAGGGCACCAGACAGGAATTAGGAGCCTGAAGAGGCCGAAGGCAGGATCCTTCTCAGATATCAGAGCCAAGATGGAGCCAGAAAAGATCTAAGCTGAAGCTTATGAAGCATAGATATGGGGTGCTGAGCTTCAGCCCCAAGTCTCCTACACACAACGTACATAACTCCATTTTGTGGGTCAGTAGATTAGAGATTTGCATGGGCTGGGCTGACTTACCTAACCAAAACAAGACAGACAATAATTAAAACAGTCATAGCCCGTGGAGACCTTACGTGTAGACATTTGCAAAGCTGTAGGACAAGGAGAGGCACCTTTAAAACTCACTGTAAAATGAACGTAGTGAGCTTTTAGTACATGCTAGGCACTGTTCCAAGAACAGTATTCAAATTACCCCCATCTAGTGCCCCTCTGGGAGGATAATATTATTCCTATACTTGTTGATATTTAAATTGAAAAATCAAATAAACAACAACAAAACTATCACAGGGAAAATAAGTAACTGAAGGTCCTATAGCCAAACTAGATTTTTTTTATTTTTTTATTTTATTTTATTTATTTTTTATTTATTTATTAAAGATTTCTGTTTCTTCCCCACCGCTGCCTCCCCTTTCCCTCCCCCTCCCCCAATCAAGTTCCCCTCCCTCATCAGCCCAAAGAGCAATCAGGGTTCTCTGCCCTGTGGGAAGTCCAAGGACCACCCACCTCCATCCAGGTCTAGTAAGGTGAGCATCCAAACTGCCTAGGCTCCCACAAAGCCAATACGTGCAGTAGGATCAAAAACCCATTGCCATTGTTCTTGAGGTCTCAGTAGTCCTCATTGTCCACTATGTTCAGCGAGACCGGTTTTAACCCAGGCTTTTTCAGACCCAGGCCAGCTGGCCTTGATGAGTTCCCGATAGAACATCCCCATTGTCTCAGTGTGTGGGTGCATCCCTCGCGGTCCTGAGTTCCTTGCTCGTGCTCTCTCTCCTTCTGCTCCTGATTTGGGCCAAACTAGATTCTGAGGACAAGCTTAGCTGTCCTTGGTCCTCTTGTGAGCTCTCAGTGTCACCATGCAATATCAGCATGTGCCTTACGCTACTAATAGATATGAGATTCTCAGAGTAACAATAAGCTACTGAACACAATGTAATCCAACTTCCAAAGCTATTATAAGAAGAAATCAAACATTTAGACTCTGAGGTTCCAAGAAGAGGTAGGGATTCTGAGGTCATCTAAGTCACACAGTTAACACCAAGAGGCAAACTGAAGTTCCTTGCTTGTGGTCACTGTGGTAACGTGCCGAGCTCACTCAAATCTGGTTCTCCATCCCTTCGTGGACGTATAGCAAAAGAATGCTTTTCCCTCTGGCGGTTACAGGCCAAGGGGCTTGTGGGTTGTGGGTGTCAGCGACATATGTCACTTCTAGACTGAAGCAAAAGACAATAAGATATTTGAAGAAGGTGTGAGCTCCGTTTCGTTTCTCCTTCTACATCGCTGCGTAAACTGAATTGCAGTGCATCCCAGGAGCCAGGTCTCAGGTGGAAGAAACAAACCTCAGAGACTCACCAGGTCAGGTACATGCTTTTCATAATAAGAAATCAACATTTCCATGTTAGGCAACTAAGGAACACATTTGCTACTACACCGAACCTCTTGTCTGTCTTAATGCAATTATACTGCCCGTGGATGAAGATGGTTCCTCGGGATTCCTCGTCTCGGCTCAACTATACACCTTTGTAAATGTCATTCCGTTCATCAAACACCTCCAATAAAATGGTTATCCGTTTAGCTCAAGAGGTATCAGAATTTCTCTAACTCAACATAACAGTTGATGAAGCTTCAACTTTAACACTTAGTTAAGAACAGGAAGTAAAGATAAAAGATCTGCAGCTCACAGAAATTCACAGGAAAAAAAAATCAAAGTTCTATCGTCTGGGAGAGGCTCTGGGACTTTTGATTTGCTTAAGCATAGCCAATGATTTTTATTCTGATGATAGACAGTTAGTACTACAACCAGTATTTAGGGAAGTGGGTCTCAGTGGCAAGAGAAAACGCTGAAAGAGACTTAGCCTGGAACCATAACCAGTTGTTGGAGTGACAATCCATGGTTTGGTTTGTTTTATTTCTGTTTGTCAAGACAGGGTTCTCTGTGTAGGCCTGGCTCTCCTGGACCCTGCCCTGTAAACCAGGCTGGCCTCAAATTCAGAGATCCACTTGCCTCTGCCTCCCAAGTACTGGGATTAAAGTGGGTGCTAATTTTTGTCATTTTTTTTCTGAGCTCTAAAATACCCTCATTGAGAAACACATTCCTCCAGAATACACGTCCCCACCCACCCCCACTTTAGGCTTTATAAGAAAGAAGTAAATATTCTAAAGCTATTGAAAATGCAAAGACAACAGAGGCAGACCTAACTACACTAATGTATTTCAAGACACTATACATGTTTGTTAGGGAGAAATTTAGAGAAAACTTTTAGTTTTCATTCCATTTCATCATATTAAATTTCTCCTGTAATAACCACATGTTATTTTGTGGCACAAAAGGAAACTTTGCAGGGATGAAATCAGGTATTTCTCAAGGAGGCTGATGAAATCCACTCTCCTTAGGCATAAGATAAGGCCACCATCTACTGTAATGCATCGTGGGGCAAACACAGCCAGCTCAGTTCTGATAAAAATCAGTTCCTGTATCTTTCCTCAGATCCTTCAGACTGGGCTCATCTCAGATTGCATCATGGTTGAGCTCCTCAGCCTGTGGACTAAGGTCATGGGGCTTTGGGAAGTAAATTGAGTCAGAGCTAGTGAGCAAGGGTACTACGTGTTTAATTCACTGGGCTAATCAGAGAGCAGGCAAGCTGTCATGCCCAGGTGGAATAACCCTTATATGTACCATAATGATACAAATTCTTTGGAATTGGATAATTATACTGGTATTTACATAAGGGATTTGATCAGTCTAGTTTGCCAGGAGCTGTTACCAAGTTGCCAATCCTGTTGATTTTGCAAATGAGTACATGGAACTGAAGATATGATCTGAAACCAGAATATTTCCCATTCCGATGTGCCAGTTCGAGGGTTAATCTATTCAATTTTTTACTCAGATTTTCCCAGGGCCAGCTCTGCCCAGTCAGAGTAGATAGATGCCAGAATAAACAATGGGAAGGTTGGCATTCCTGCTTAGGGCAAACCAGCCTGGCTGAGCTTCCCTTTAGAGAGACGCGGGATTTGCAATGGCAGAGGGGAGGCGTCATGCAAGACCCAACCATTGAGATAGAAGCCTTAGACATAGAAAGAATAGTGAAAGCCCCAACATTTTCAAACCATTCACTCTTGTCTCATGATGCTTAAAATGTGTTTTATTTCATCAAAATGGAGACAGCGGCAGTTTTACAAGGTGTGTTGAGAGTACCACTGAAGGAAACGACGTCAGAAAGCCGGCACGAGTGCCCGCCGCCCTGCCGGCACTCGTGGGTAAGGATGCCTTCAGGCAGCCACGGCTTTGCCATCATGCAACTAAGTTACTCAATTTTAAAAATCTCGCTCCAGTTTAGTCAGATGAAGGGCTGAGTTATCCTTGAACATCCTTTGAATGAAAAGAGAAAACTGAGAGTTTGTAGGGGGCCCAGGGCATTAGCGATGCTTGGGGAGGCCAGTGCTGCCCGCATCACTCTCGTACTGAAAGGGAAGTAGTAATTGGACACACTTATCAGCCACTTTTCTTTGAAGCAGTGCGTGAGAGACTACAGAGTCTGTAAAAGAACCGCAATGGGCACTGAGGGTACTATGAGGATGACGGACTGTTGCAGCTGGACAGTGTGGCCCTATCCGAGGGGCAGAGTCACCACTTGTCAGACCCTCATTGATTGTTAATGAAACCCTTATTGATTGTTAATGAAACATAAGTACCAGAAGTCAAGATCCAACTTCTTGACGTTTAAATGGTAAGTAAAGAATTTGGAGAGGAAAATAAAACAAAAGAAGTTAGTTCGTCATGGTTCAAGACAATTCAGTGGAAGAAAAAAAATGATCATACACAGTCTATAAACTGCAACCTCTGCATGCATTCCTTCCTTCAACAACATGTTCTGAAAATCTATGGAATACGTAATTAAACAAGGATTCTGAGAGCCAATAGTGGTTTACATCTTTATTCCAACACTCAGGAGTCAGAGCTCTGAATGTGAGGCCATCCTGACCTATAGAGCGAGTTCCAGAGTTCCAGGACAGCTAAGGCTACACAGAGAAACCATACCTCAAAAACACAAAACAAAACAAAAACTCCTGCCCTCACGCCTCTCACAGACTGGGCTAGGATGTGGTTCGGGGCAAAGTCTGTGTCTAGCCTGTGTTAGGTTGGGTTTCATCCTCAATACTGCTTAAAATAAACAGTGGGGTTTTAAATAACGAATTTTAAGATAAAAAGTTAAATCTAGAGTGAAACAGAGATTATATGCAAGTAACTCGAATCCTGGACTAGTGGTCCCTCTGGGATCTATCTATAAGAGGTAAGACTACAAAAAGAGGTTGCCAGAAAGGGCTTTGCCA